CCAGGCAGAAAGAGCCAAATGGTGAGGAAAGTCTCTTGATTAGCATAGCTCTGCCAAAGAAGAACTTTCTGCAGTAGGTCTCACTGAGTCATGAAACAGTTAGTCACAGCTGGTTCGGGGTCTTGCAATGAATCAGGCACAGTTCCTGCTGAGGGAGCTCTCAGTCGAGTGAAAACTTTTTAGCCCCAGAGAAAGCCCAACAACTATTAAAAGAAAAAAACTGACCTGGATTTTGCAGCTATTAAGTGGCAGAGTTGGTATTCAGACCCAAGCCTTTCTGACGCCAAAGTCTATGGTCTTTTTCTCAAGCCATGGTGGTCCTCAGTCATGCTGGGTGCTGGGGATACAGAGACGCAGGAGAGAGGGTCCTGTCTGCAAGGATCTCAACTTCTAATGTAAAAGGGAGGCACGTGAGCCCAGACATCCTTCCCATGGGAAGGGCTCTGCCAGGATCAGCTAAAGGGCCATGGAGCACAAAGGGAAAAAATGCATTAAAATGTGCTCTCTTCAAAGGAGGGGGTCATGTCTGTTGTGTTTACTGCTGGATCCCATACCCAGCACACTTTAATCTTCAGTGAATGTTTGATGGATGGTTGAATGAAAGAGGAAGAGACAAAGTGCCTAGGACAGAGGCAAAGTTAATCAGGGAAGGCTTTTCAGGTGAGTTCACATTTGGGAGGACTGTGAAGGATGAGAGGCGTTGGCCAGGTGGAAAAGAGGAGAAAGGCGGAAAAGGAATAACAGGATGGAGTAACAGTCTCAAGTTTGTTTGTTTTTATTACAACCCACAGTATACACACACAATTAGAGCCTTATTATGTATAATGCCCTCTGTTATTTTCTTGTCTATTTCCATTTTGTAAATATTAGTGGCCACCCACTAATTTTTTGTGTAATGGACACGGGATTTGGGAAAAGTAGAAGCTGAAAAGGTGACTTGGAGCCAGACTGTAAAGATCTTTGGATGCTTGAGTTGATGAGTTTGGATCCTTTTCAGTTCTTGCTTCCCCTGTGAGGTCTGATCCTGCAAACTCTTTGCTCCTACTCTAGCTCTTTGAGAAACTTCCTGCTCACTCCTACCTTCTTCCTCCCCAGTTGGTTCTTTCAATCGTGCTGAGCTGGGGCTCTGTGCTGGGCTGTCCACACTCAGCCTTCTCGGCCTCCCCGAATCTCAGCCATGCCTTGGTTTGAAGGACTGCGCACTTCTCACTTTGGACACCGTCCCCTTGAAAGCCCATATCTGCCCACCTGAGTGCCAGCACACTCATTCAATTGCCCCTTCAATGACCACAGACACATCACCCTCAGACCTGCTTCTCCTTGTCCCATCTCTGCATTGTCCTCACCAGCCACAGTGCCTCCAGGACAGAATCTTGTCCTTGGGGACGTATCATGCTGTCTATTCTGCTTTCAAGGCAGCGCTCCAATCCGTCCACTTTTCTCCTTGCCACCTGTCACCACCCTGGTGTGGGCTGGGCCTTCCCGCCCTGCATATCTGTTGACACCTCCTGCCTCCGTGTGCTGCCCCCTTCTCTCAATTCCCTGTAACAGCTGCCATGAGCCTTCTGAAGCATGAATCTGATCGTGTGACACCCTGCTTCCCTTTATGATAAAGCCCAAACCTAGTAATATGCCCTGTGTCCCCAGACTCCCCTGTTGAGTCTCATCTCTGCAACCCTCCCTACCCCCATTCCCTCTGATGCTCCATTCACCAGGCCCCTCAGACCTCCATGGGCCCTGCTTCCTCTGGCTTTGAAAAAACTGCCTGGTGAACCCCAGCTCATTCCTTCTGGATCCCAGTTTAGGAACACCTCCTCCAGGAAGCCTTCAGTGACCCACCCATTTGGAGTCCTCTTCTCTGTGTCCCCACAGTCCTCTGTGCATCTCCCACCTTGATGCCTAATACCTTCTTCTCTATTGTAGTGGCCCTGCCTCTCTTTTCCATTAGATGGGAGGCATAATTGAAGGATTAAGAGCAGATGCTGAAGTCAAAACTGCGTAGGTTCAAATCCCAATTCTGCCACGTACAGCTGTGGGAGTTTGGGATTTTATTTAATCCCTCCATGATTCGCCTTCTCCATTCTATAAGATGATGATAATTATGCTAATAATAAAAACATTAACAAAAAAGAATGGCACCTGCCTCACGGTATTGTTAGAGGATTAAATGAATCAGGGTGCTGATGACAGGGCCTGGCACATAGTAAGTGCCACCTATGTGACTGATCACCAAATCAGCCCTCAGAACAGTTGCTCCAGGAGGGCAGACACTGGATTTATTTGACCCACTATTACATCCCAGCACTTTGCCCCAATGTCCTGGTCATGAGCATCCCCCAACATTTGTGAGGTGAATGAATCCTGGGTCGAAAAGAGTGACAATGCATACAGGAAAGAGAGGACACATTTGGGTGATGCCTTGGAGGAAAACTGCTCAGAGCTAGGTGCTGACTCCATCTGAAGGTGGGAGAGGAGGAGGAGGAATACAGGAGGAAGAGCACGGCTAGGACAGACTTTGTGACTGTTCCTCCCAAGCCCTTGGCTGTTGCAGTCTCTCCCCACCACTGTCATTCATTGCTACCTCCATCCACGGGAGTGCTCCAGCCAGCCTAGGGATTACTGTTCATTCCCTTCTTCTCTCTCTCTCTTTCCTTCCCCCCTCTCAGTTGGGACCTTCCAAGTCCTGTCAGAGCTGCTTGTGACCCAGGCCTATCGTCCTCTCTTCTCCCCGCACCCCACTTCCACCTTAGTTGTTCTAGTTACAATTGCTGTGTAACAAGCACCGTCCCAAAAATAGTGGCATAAAACAATCATTTCATTACACTCACAAGTTATGGGGCTTGGGAATTTAGACAGGGCACACTGGGGATGACTACGGAAGCCCCTGTCCACAGTGCCTCAGCTGAGAAGACTGAAAGGGAGGGATGATGTGGAGGTGGGGGGTTGAAATCATCTGGAGACTCCTTCACCCACATGTCTGGCACCTGGGCCAGGATAACTCCAATGCTGAACTGGGACTGTGGACTGGGCTTCCTCACATCATGGCAGCCTCCAGACTCCTTCCTTCAGGGCTCCAGCAGGAGTGTTCCAGAAAACAAGGCAGAAGCTGCATTGCCTCTTATGACCTAGCCTGAAAGCCTTGTAGCATCACTCCTGCCACACAGAAGCCCACCCAGATTCAAGCAAGGAGAGCATGGGAGCCCACCTCTCAATGGGAGGCATGTGTGGCTGTGTTTTAAAACCACCAACGTCTTGTACCTGAACCCATGGGGTATTCTCCTCTCTGGTCTGCCTGGCTCCACTTTGCCCAGCCCTACCCTTCACCCCCCACCTCCCTAGATTCTCCATGGGGCAGCCAAGGGGGAGCTTTGGAACACACACATCAGATGAGTCACTCTTCTTCCTATCCCTCCAATGTCTTCCCACTGAACTTCCCCCGTGAAATCTAAGCTCCCTGACATGCCTACATAGCTCTGTGGGATCTGTGAACCCCCATCTCCTCCCATCCATCCCACTGGCTTTCTTTCTCGTTCTTGAGCACAGCCCCGCATTCCCTCCTGGGGCTCATGCCCACCTCCAGTCTTCTGCATTGCTGTCCTCCCTCTTGACATGCTGGGACCCAGGATCCTGTGTCCTTCAGGTCTCAACTCGAATGCCACCTACTCAGATCTCAAATAATCCCCGGGCACCCAATGTTGTCTCTCTCACTACTCTGTTTTATTATCTTCACCTCTCCCTGAGATGTCTGAAATTACATAATTGTTTACCTCTGGTTTGTCTCCCTCACTAGCTCCAAGAGAGAAGGTCCTGGATCCTTCTTTCCTTATATCCTTTGTGCTCACTATGATCCCTGGCACAGACATTTGTGTGATGTGAATGAAGGCATGAACAGCGGTTTTCAAGGACGATTCAAAAAAATTCTGAAGGATAGGCAGGCCTGGCGAGGTGGTGGTTAATGCGTGTGTGTGGGTGGGGCTGTTTGTAATCTGGCTCTCCCACTTTCTAGCTGGTGATTTTGGGAAAACACCTTCGCGTCTCGGAGCCTCAATTTCTTCAGCTGAGACGTGAGTCCAACAGCCGCTAGCTCACTGGACTGGGGTGTACATCATAGGAAGGGATCTGCCCCTCTGGTCAGCTAGAACGCTCAGAGCACCGTGTTTCGGGGAGCTAGGCGACGCTACAGCACCCGCCGCGCCCACCAGGGGTCGCCGCGAGCGCGCGCTGAACTGCCAGTCGCGCCAGGCGCCCTCGGGCGGCTCGCGAGGCCCACGTCTGGGTCCCGTGCGGGGCATCCTGGCCTCAGCCCGACTCCGACTGTCCGCTAGAAGGGGCATTCCAAAAGAGGCTGCCCTACCTGGGCACCCACCTGCCGCATCCCCTCGAATAGACCGCGGTGGGGGAGGAATATACTGAGCCAGTTATCCCCGCTCCGCGGAAGGGGGCGCCCTCCTCTGAAGCTGGGCTCGGAAGCCTGGGGAAAGGGGGAACTCGGGTGTCACCTAACACACACACACACACCCCAGCTCTGAGCGCTCGGCCGGGCAGGGAGGACGAGGAGGCAAGCCAGGGCGCGGGGGTTCTCGGCTGAGCCTTGATCCTCTCAACCCCGCAGGCAGTCGCAGGGCGCCAGCTCAACCGCAACTTGCGAGTTAGCGACCCGTGGGGGTCGAGCGGACTCCCACAGCCCCCTGCCCCGCTCCGCGCCCGGGAGCCGGGAGGGGGCGCCGCGGGAGCGCGTGGGGCAAGGCGTGAGCGCGCGCTTGGAGCTGGCGGCCCTGTCCCGCGGGCGCTGGGGTGCGGGGCGGGCGCTCCGGGGAGGCGGGCGGGGGAGGGGGCGGGAGAAAGGAGGGAGGGAGGGAGGGAGGGGCGGGGGCGGGAGGCAGCAGCGCCCCCGCACTCCCCGCGCCTCACACACTTGCACCGGCCGCTCGCGCGCAGCCCGGCGTCGCCCCGCGCCGCGCTCGCTCCTCCCTCCCTCCTCCCGCTCCGTGGCTCCCGCGCTCCCGGCGAGGTTCAGGCGCCGAGCGAGCGGACGGGCGCACGGACAGACGGCCCCCGGGACGCCTCGGCCCGCGCCTCCCGGGCGGGCTATGTGGATAGCCCCGCCGGGGCCGGCCCGCGGGATCAGCACAGCCCGGCCCGCGGCCCCGGCGGCCAGCGGGGACTATGAACCGGAAAGCGCGGCGCTGCCTGGGCCACCTCTTTCTCAGCCTGGGCATGGTCTACCTCCGGATCGGGTAAGGGCCGCTCGCATCCCCTGCACGCGTGTCCCGGCAAAGTTGGCGTGGCCCGGGGAGGGGGTCGGCCGCCGGCCACCAACTTCTTCGGCCCCTCAGAGAGGCTGGGTGGGAGCGGTGCTGGAGCTGTGGGCGCACAAAGACCCCCCGCAGGCGGGCGCCCCAGGGGCGCGCACAGCTCTAGACACTGGGCAGAGGTCCGGCCATCCTGAGGATGTCTGAGTCTGGAAGCCCCCAGAACCAGAGACAACCAGTAGGGACGGTCCGGCTTGGGGGACTCAGGAGAACTAGCTGCTGCGAAGGTCAGCCTCTCCTAGGGACACTTCTGACCCGAGCATAGGGCATAGGAACAGCAGGTCCCACAAGAACACCGGAGCCGGGAGTCAGGACGACAGCCGCTCCCAAGGAGCTCAGCCCCAAGAGCCCGAGAGGAACTCTGTACACAGAGGCGCGGGCACAGCCACTCCTGGAGACAGGGCAGTCCCCGGGTGGCAGGCGGGGCCGTTCCTTGCAACGGGGAACAGGTACCTAGAGGGAGGGACCTTCGCTGGCAAAAACACAAACCGCTGCTCAGATCCCTGACACCACCCGATTTCCAAGAACCCTCAATACTCCCAGAGCCCTTTCCCGGGCCGAGGGGACAGCGCCTCCCATTCCCAACGAACACACACAAAGGTAGGACGAGAGATGGCCCTAGACACCCAGAGAGACAAGCTCGAAGAGCCAGCGCCAGAGAGAGGCGGGCCACCCCGCCCCCTAAAACTGGGCACCGGAGTCGGCCGGCGCGCCTGCGGAGCAGCCCTCCCTGCTGCACTCCAGCATTTCCACGGAGGTGGGGCCTGGGGCGGCGCTCCGGCTGGAAAGTGGGAGGGGGCGGCTCAGGACGCGTCTTGGAGCTGCGTTTGCAGGGCCAGTCACCCTTTGTACTTAGGAGATAATGCGTGTGAAGCACGGAGGGGTGGGGGTGGGGGGCTTGAGGGATTGATAGAGGTTCTGGCGCTAAAGGGCCACCTTGGCAGGTTTCACACAACCTGCTTTCCTACTCCAGGGGGGGGAACCTCCCCACAGCTCGGCTTTGGGGAGGGGGCAGACTGCGGGGCCTGCGGCGAGGGGGTGTGTGTGGCAGAGCCTTTGTGTTTTGCCACTGCCACTCCTCCCCTTTCCCCACCCCGCGTCTCCGTAGCGGGCATTTCGCAAGTTGAACGGCCGCGGCTGCAAGCAGGTGCGCGCAGAGCGGACCAGGCGGCCGCCGGCCGCGACCGCGGACCGAGGGGCGACCGCAGGCGGAGAGGCGGCTGCGGGGCTCGCGCGCTGTCTGCCTGCGGGTGTGTTTTAAGTGTTATTGATTCATCCGCGTCTGGGTGGCTTTTCTCTTTCTCCCTGCTTTAATCTTCATCTTGGCCCGCGCCCCGCCGCCCCGCGCGCATCCAGCATTCAGGAAGCTGGTCGGGCTGATTGGCGCTGGCCGCGTGAGGCTTTATCTTCTTTTTAATTAGAATCGGGGCGGAGGGACTGGGGAAGGGAGAGAGAAAGGGAAAACAACAGAAAATAACCTCCCCTGGCTGCCCCGCCTGCCGGACCTCCCGCCGGCGCGCGGAGACCTCATTGGCCCCGCCGGGGCCCAGCTGCCCTGGAGGGAGGGAGGGAGCTACAGAGGGCGCTGGCCTTCAGCACCGCAGTCGCCCTTTGGGGCGGGGAGAGGTCCAGGTCAGGAAAAGGAATTGAACGGTGAATTTGGCCCGAGCCCTGCTGCTCCCTGAGCCTCGGGCTATCCATCTGTAAAATGGGCATGAGGGGTAAAGTTCCAAGGTCCTTAAGAAGCCTTCCAGCTCTCCGGATGTGCCTGGTTCCTCCCTGCTCAGGGCTGATGGCAGGGCATCTGCGCGGTATTATTTAATGTGGATAGTTCCAGTGACTCAAGCACCACCCCCCATAACAATCAAATCCAATAATAATAAAAACCACAACAGCAGCACAATTATTGAGTACATACTAGGTGCCTGGCACCTTTTAAACACTTTCCATGTTTTAACACATTTAATTTTCACAGCAACACTGTGAAATGAGGGCTAATGATCAATATCCTCATTTTAGTGATGGAAAAGCTGAAGTACAGAGAGGGGATGGAACTTGCTCAAGGCCACACAGCTAGTATGTGAAGGAAGCTTCGCTGGTACCCTAGGCCTGACCTTTTAGCTGCTAGATTATTGTTCCTCTGAATTTTTGACTCTAATATATCAATTATACTCTGTTGGGGTAGAAATTCCCTGGTGGTAAGCTAGGCATTCACAGGTTCCCCCTGACTTGTGGCCACAACATCTCTGCTTGACAATCTTTCAACATTTCAAACATTTCAAACATTCTAGCTCTAGCCGTGTTAGACTCTCTTTCAGTGGCTGAGATGAATGAACGAGAGCTCTAGAGAGCTTTCTGTTTCAGATCAGTGACCCACTAGCCTCTAGATCTCAATCCCTGTGAGCCTCAATTTTCAGATATGTGAAAAGGGTGATTCCTGCCCACCAGGGCTGTTTAGAAAGGTCACATGTATCTCATGTTTGCAGCAACACCTGCCATACTGCCTTGGCATGGTAGGGATGCTGCGAAAGTTCACTGATGCATTCAGGGCATATTTGGGGAGGGGCACCTGCTGTGTCATATAGGTACTTACCTTGAGTGATATTTTGGAAACTCCATAGTTCATCGGTTCATTCATTCATTCATTCATTCATTCAGTAGCCATTTAGTGAACCGACAGACATCATTCCTGCCCCCAAAGAGCTCATAGTCTAATGAGAAGGACAAGTGACAAAGTGGGCACACAGAACCAGACATGTACATTAAAACGTTTCAGAAGACTATAAGTAATCCAGAGAATTACATAAACAAAACAGAGACTGTGATGCAAAGTTATGAGGGGTGTGATGGGGAGGCAGGTTCCCTTAGCTGGGGTGGTCAAGGAAGATGCCCCATGAAGTCACAGGAATAATGGCAAGAAGCCAAGCCTGTGAAGCTCATGGGAGGAGAGAGATTGCAGGGAAGGGGACCAGTAAGGACAAAGGGCCGGAGGCAGGAAGAGGGCTGGTGTGAGGCAGGAGTAGAGGGAAAGAGAGTAGGACTGGTCAGTAATGTGCTTGGAGAGAAGTGGGGTCACCTCATCTCCTGCACTGTTGGTACACAGAGCCTTGCTTTAAGAAATTCCAATTCCAGAACAACTTCCTGTAGCTGAGTCCCAGGATGGAAAATGTGAGGCACTTTGCCCAGGGCTGGTTGTGACCTTCAGTAAATGGAAGCTCTTATTATTATAACCAGAGTGAGGCATCAGGGGTGAGGTCTTCTCTTTAAAAGCTCCAGATGTGTGGACCATCTTTGTGTAAAGGGAGGGCTACCTGAAGCATCAGGGTTGCCATTGGAGCTTGTCTGGGGTTATCTTGATATTAGGAAATGGCCCCACCCTCGGCCAGATACCCAGGAGTCACACTGACGCCTGTCTTTCCCTCATACCCTTCCCCATCCCTCCCCTCAGCTCCACCCTTCTATCAGTCCATCAGCAAGTTGGGTCAGCTCCATCCGCAGCCACCCCTGCTGCTGCCAAGGCCAAGCCACCACCCCCTCTTGCCTGTCCCTTCTCCCTGCTCCTGCTCTGGTGCCCCGCGTTCCTCTCTCCCATGGGGCTGGAGGGATGGGATGCCGTCAGTTTCCTGCTTACAGCCTTTCAGTGCTCCCTGATGCACTTGAGAAAATTCTAGCCCTCTACAAGGTTCTCTCCTCAGACTCTCTCCTTCCCTGAGCCCTGCACCAGCTTCTGTGGGATCTTTCTGTTCCTTGGTGATCCCAGGTTGCTGCTCCCCCCCACCCCCGAGAACTTGGCATCTGCTGTTCCCTCTGCCCAAATTACTCTCCCCCAGACCTGCCCACGACTGGCTCCTAGCCATTCAGCTGCACAGCACCTCCCATCCTTGACCACCGCAGCTAAAGTGGCCCCTCTCTCTTCCCTCCCAAGCCCACCCTCTTCATTTATGGCCTCTTCACTTACTTTCCTCATAGTGCCCACCACTGTCTGAAATGGTCTATTATTCATTTGTGAAATGGGTGTAGTCTCCCTCCAGAGCTCCTGGAGGGCAGGCCCTGGCCTCTCTCCCAGCATGGTGCCTGGCACCTGATAGGTGTCCAGTATGTATCTGCACAGAGAATGAGTTAGGAAGATAGGAACCGTATGAAGAGTCAGGGGCATCCTCTGGACTGGTCATGCCTGGCGTGGGGTACACATACTCCATTGGCACGCAGAAAGAAAATACTAGACCTTCTATTTACAATTACTTCTCAAAGATATTGTTTGTAAAACAACGTATACGTACATACCAGAAAGTATATATAACGTGTATAGGCAGTTGCGGTTTTTTGGTTTTTTTTTTAACGTGTACCCACAACCTTTCAGGGCAACTGCTGCAGGAAACTTTGGAGTTATCATCCCCTTGCTTGCCTTTGCAGAGTTATCACATAGACACGATTCCTAAAAAATATTGGGTTTTAGTTTGCATGATTTAAAATTTCATCTCAATTGAACTCTACCATAAATCCGAAGGCAACTTGCTTTGTGCAAAATGTTGTATTTGTGATATATGTCATCTTTTTTTGTGTGCATCTTAAAAGAAAATCAAGGCTCACTAATATTGAATATATATACTACACAAGTACTGATATGGAACACAAAATGAATAAATGTGGGTTTGGGGTACAGTATCAAAAAAGTTGGGAGACCTCTGCTGGGAGCAGCGGGGGGGGGTAGGGGTATAGGGGGAGTAGGGACAAGAGCATCAGACACCCTGGGAGCGCCTGTAAGCCATGCCCCCCCCCCTTGCTGGACTAACACTCCATTTCTCTGTGTCCCCTGCTCCAGTGGCTTCTCCTCGGTGGTAGCTCTGGGCGCGAGCATCATCTGTAACAAGATCCCGGGCCTGGCTCCCAGACAGCGGGCGATCTGCCAGAGCCGACCCGACGCCATCATCATCATAGGAGAAGGCTCACAAATGGGCCTCGACGAGTGTCAGTTTCAGTTCCGCAATGGCCGCTGGAACTGCTCAGCACTGGGGGAGCGCACCGTCTTCGGGAAGGAGCTCAAAGTGGGTATGTGCTCACCCAGACAACTTATGCAAGGTCTTAGAGGCTATGGGAGACCAGAATACCCTCAGGATCCCTCTGTGACCCTCTCACCTGCCCCATGCTGGAATGCTACCCTGTATGGGATCTGCGGGTGTCATGACTTGAATCAGTTCTCCTGGGGAAGGTCAGATCTCTAATTTGAATCCAGACCACTCCAACCATTTATGGCAAAGTTGAAAATCAGCAACCAGTGGCCTAAATGCTAATTGACTGATATAGCACTGATGTTTCTTAAATTGAAGTCCAATTAAAAAAATAACATTTCTACCTAAAAGTATGAATTTTTGGCTTCTTTTTAAAAATACGCAGATCTACTGATAACTTACATATGTGCCTCCATAGTTATAGTGGGATCAAGCTGAGAATGAAGCTTCCTTTAAGATGGAGCCACTGCCACAGTCCCTACCACTCCCTATTATCGCCCAGTCCCCATTTATGACTCACCAGGCCACTGTGGGCATTTGAATTTGCAACCCCTGTCTTGTGGGAATTGTGTGTTGCTCGGACATGCATACATGGGCGTGCGTCCATGTGTGTTTGTGTGTGTGTGTGTGTGCTCACACACACCCAGAGATACACACACAAACATGCACAAAGTATCAGGTCACACTTTTGGTTTTTAAAGCAACTGTGAGGAAAACCTGGTGGAAAGGGGGTTGGTCATTGGGAGGCCTCAATATTTATGGAAAAGGCCATGATAATGTGTCCTGCTTGTGTGTGTCTGGACTGGGGGGCCGGGAAGTCTGCATGCTTGCTGCCAAGCTGTGAACTTCCCTGAAAATAAGTCTGCCTCAGTCTCTTTGGGCTGGAGTGGTTCACCCGGCCTGCTGAACTGCTCTAAAAGCACCCCTGAGTTCTCTCTCTCCCTCAGCCCCAGCATTAGTAAATTCAGTGGATATTGAAAAGATCCACCCCAAATCTAGCCATTTCTCCGTGTCTCCGTACTTCCTCCCCCTCAGGTCACACAGATGGCGCCTCTGGGCTCCCTGGCGCCCCCATCATCCTGCTGCCCCCTGGCTATTCTGCAAACCGTCCTGCAGGCAGGGTCCTCCTTTGTAAATGAAAATCAGATCATGTCATTTCCCTGCTTAAAACTCCGTGGAGGCTTCCTCTCATTTTTAAAGTGCTGCTGACCTCTGCCCCCATCTGCTCCCATCTTCCCCCTCCCCCCTGCCCACCCAGGCTTGTCTTTTTTCCCAAACACACCACACTGGGTCCTGCCCTGGGGCCCCAGCACTACACATTCCTTCTGCCTCAGATCCTTTCTCACAGTTAGCACCCCAGAGTCCCCTGTTCTCTGTGCACATCTCTCCCTCACGGCCTTCGGGTCTCTGGGCCTCCCTTGATCACCGGGGTCTAAAGCCCCCTCCTATCACGAAGCTCCAGCCCATCAGCCAAGCACTTGGCACTGTGACTCATTCTTCACCCCTTGGGAATGCCAGCTCCATGAGAGTTGGGGCTCCCCATCACACTCACCACTGGATGTTTCCTTCCTCCTTCTTGGTCATCTCGGTCCTGAGCAGGTCTTGTTTGATCACCATCTTCTGTAGGCATCTGCTTACTCACGCCTGAGGGAGACAGACCCCAGCTTCATGGTGAGGTTGGCAGGGGGCGTGGCAGCCTCCTCTTATAGAACTCCTCTTTACATGCGTGCCCTTTCTGACATCTTCGTGGTTAGAATTTTGCCTTGTACCACCTGCCCTTCCTTCTCCCTCTTCCAGCCTCGGGGCTGACTTTTCAGGTGGAGAATTGGGGCCCAGAGAGAGGGCGGGGCTGCCCTGGCTCACACGGGAAGGTGGCATCAACGCTGAGTCCAATTTAGGTCCTGAAATTGCCATCCTGTGAGCCTTCTGGTGGCACCCATGGTTTTTCAGCCTTCTCTTGCTCACATCCCCAGTCCCCTGTCCCTGGGACCCAGGTCTGGGCTCTGGCATTACTTTAAACTTGTACGTTGCTGACATATGAGATGTTACAGATGAGGAAACAGGCTCAGAAGGGACTGGTTTGAGGTCAATGAAAGTGAGTGACAGGGTGTCCTAGGACTGGGTTGATGCAGCCTTGGAACAGCCTGCAGCCTTGGAGAACCAGACCATAGCCTGGCATTATAATAGTGCATGCTGGGGTGCAGTGGAGGGCTATGGGGCCAGGAGCCCCTGCTGTCCAGCAGCCCTCCCAGCTGACCAGAGTTGTAGAATTGAGGGAACCTATCGCACGTCAAGTGGCCTCAGGGAATCGAAGCAAAGAGAGGAGCCTAAGAAAACCTGGGGCATAGCAAGGCTAGGGCAATAGGTCTACAGGCCTGGAAGTGAGTGGGAGCCAGGGCCAGGAGGTGTATGGCATCAATCTGAGCAGTTTGAACTCAAACTAGGTGGTGGGAGCAATTGGAGGATTTTGAGCAAAGGCCTAGCTGCCAAAGTAAGGTCATACTGTATGAAACAGCCACTATTTAATGATTTTTGACCTGCAAAAATGACAACATCATATGATCCAGCCTAATAGTAATTTTGGATGTCTCATTAAGGGGTGGCTATAAAATTCATTCGTTTATTTATGTCATTCATTAACTATACATTCACCAAATATTTACTGAGTGCCCACCATGGCTGGAAGCTGCTGTTGCAGCCTGTTTGGTCAAGAAAGGCCTCTGGATTCATAAGGGAGGTGAGCCACGGGCATGTCTGGGGAAGGGCATGTTGGGCAAAGAGGGTGGATGTGCAAAGGCCCCCAGGCAGGAACATGTTTGGCAGTTTGAGGACCAGTGAGAGGGCTGGTGTAGCTGAAGTACAGCAAGCAGGGGGAAGAGGAAGTCTCAGAGGTCAGAGAAGAAGCCAGGAGCTGGACGGTGTGACGTCTGTCAGGCCAAGTCAGGGATTTGGGTTTTCCTCCAGTGAATGGAGAGCGAGGGAATGAAGGATCTGACTTTGGATCTAGCAGCCTTGCTCTAGCTCCCAGGAATAGAATGAACTATGGAGGGGTCAGGGGCCAGTCTTCTGGGCAGGGGGTGATACTGGCTATGGCCTGAGAGATAGCAGTGCAGATCTGCTTTGGCAGTGATGCTGAGGATGAAGGGGGACTGATGACCTGAAGGCCAGTTAGGAAGGAGGTACCCTGGCCTGGAACCTGAAAGGTGGTGGCGATGGAGCTGAGGACAAGGAGGTGCAGATGAGACCCCCAAGGGTCTGAGAAGTCACTTTCCCTCTGAGCCTTGGTTTCCTCATGTGTAAACATATCCTCTTGAGGACACCAAGAAGCAAGCCTCAGATTTCGACTCCCGGGCTCTTCCTCAGTGCCCTCAGTGCTCTTGCCCTTATAGGATTGCCTCTTCCTGGCAATGACCAACCAGCAAGGCTACCTTGTAGGTGAGGCATCAAGAGTGTAGTCTTTGAGTTTGGGAGGAGCTTTGACCATCAAGGCCACACTCTGGATGGCAGGAAACATCGCCCCCCCCCACCCCAACCCCATACTTCTACTTACATTTCATTGGCCAGAATTCAGTCACATAACCTCGCCTAGCTACAAGGGAAGCTGGGAAGTGTAGTCTTTTATTCAGAGTAGCTCTGAGACCAGCTCAGAGTCTGTGACTGAGGAGGAAGGGGAAAGTTGACATTGGGGTGGTGGGCAGCTGCCCTTGGCATAGTTATCCATCTCATGCTGAGACCCGAAGGCTCATCTTCTCCTGCCTCCTCAGCCTCCGCTCTGGTCTCTGGTTCTGTGTTTCATGGCTCTGTCTCCCCTCCTGAATGTTCTAGATTTTACTGTCTAGATCTCAGGAGAAGGCCATGGACATGTACCAGACAAAGGCCTCTTGGATGCTAGAAACTGAAACCCAGTCCAAGCCCTCTCAGGCAAAAAGGGGAATTTATGTCTGCTTAAGTCATTGCAAAGTCAGGGATGGTGCTGACTTTTGGAATGGCTTCTGCCAACCCCAGACCTGCTTCTTGGGGTGGCGGGATGGCTCTGAAAGTGCCAGAACCACAACTTCCAGGTTCTAAATTTGCAAGAAAGAGCATTAGCCTTTCTCTGGGGGCCCCTACAGAAGTCCTAAGGTTCATCCCAACTGGATCAGCTGACAGAGCTTGACTTTGGGTCATGTGTCCATCCCAAACCAATCACAGTGGTCAAGGACAGCAGTGCTTTTGTTGGCCAGACCTGGGAGCCCCACCTAGACCATGTCTCAGGGGAGAGGGCCTGCTCACAAGTCCATTAGCCAGCTTGGGCTTCTGTAACAAAGAACCACAGGCTGGGCAGCTTAGACAAAATGCTTCTTTTCTCACAGTTCTGGAGGCCAGAACTCCAAGATCAAGGTGTCAGCAGGTTTGATTTTTTCCGAGGCCTCTCTCCTTGGCCTGCAGATGGCCACCTTCTCCCTGTGTCCTTACATGGTCTTTCCCCTGTGCATGCCCTTGTTGTCTCTGTGTCCTAATCTCCTCTGCTTACAAAGACACCAGTCAGATTGGATTAGGACCCACCGTAATGGCCTCATTTCAACTTAATCACTGCTTTACAGGTCATACCTCCAAATACATAATGTCCCTTGTCACAGTCTGAAACACTGGGGGTTAGGGTTGCAACATATGAAGGGGGGGGTAATGAGCAATCAGAGAGCAGAATGGCTCTGTGCTTCAGGGAAAGGCATACAAGATGTGGTGGGTGCTCAGAGGTGAAACTCCAAGGTGCAAGAAGTGGGCTAGACAATAGAGATGGCCCTTGATCCAGGTCTTAAAGGGTAGGAAGAATGGGGCAACGACATGGATGTTGGATTGCTAAGAGGATCTTGAACAGCTGTCTGCAGCCTCAGGAGGCAGGGGGTCAGTAGTCTCAGATGAGATTGCAGGCCAGCTTTTCAGGTGTCTTAAATGCCAGGGATTATTAGAATGTGGTGTATGGCTCCACATCAGCTTTATCACCTGCTACCCATTGTGGCCCTTGGAGGCTTGAGAATGCATTCAGCCCCCTTCAGCCTT